GGAGCCTACCAAAAGGAAGAAGCCTCTCTGCAGAAACAAAGTACTGTATGGGCAGTTTTGCAACTGCACGATTCTCGGCTGACTTCCTTGAATAAGACGCCCTTCAGTTTTTAGGCTAAGGATTTTAGAAAAAAGTATCATCTTATAGTTGGAAAAATACGGTACTTTATTTGCTAAGTCTTTGATTTACAACTTGTCTGCTGTTATCTGCTTCTGCTCCTTGGCAATGGTGTCTGCTACCTTGAAACAGAACAATGGGTTCGATGATTAGAAAACAAGATAGATTACCAAAAAGATAAAAAAAAGTCACACTGTAACCATAGAGTAAGAGGTTAATTTACACTTATAACTGCTATAAAGGAAAATGAGAAGTTCCTTCTTCTTGGGCCTCATGTTGGCCTGCCTGAGTACAATTCCACCTGGTCAGATGGGTCACTCTGATCCAGCAGAAATCCTCAGAAGATCAGGGTCAGATCCTGTGCAAATCCTTTCAAAGCGGATCTGCAGAAGATCAAGGAACAACATGCAACCCTCTTTTGGAAACACGACAGGAACTGCCTCTTTTCCCAGTCTTGTAGACAGATGAAGTGATAGCCAGAACAGGTCTTAAATCAGCTGTGTGAGCCTGGATAGGATGTGGCTTTGAAGTGATTGAAGAGGAGATGCACTGTAGGTTCTTCTGAGGCATCTCTTTGAAGGATTTGCACTGCTCCATTCTAAAAAGTAGGCAAAGATCTCTGTGGTTACCCAGCTGCAATTTCAACGTTCACCCAAATGGAAACCTTGGTCTTCAAACTGAAACCTGATGGGGCCATTAGAACCCCAATCTTGATGTTAGGACTGGATTCTTTGGTTCCAGGATTTCCCTGAAAACCTGGAATGTGGTCCTGAAAGCTTCTAAGAAAGTTACTCAAAAATTAATTTTTAATTTAATTCAGTAAGGAAGTTATCGAACACATGGGGAGAAGTGTCTATTTCACTTTTGGAATGGAAAAATAGTGCATTTCAGATAGACTTCCATTGCTCCCCAGTGAAATCCACATCATAACCAAGTTCAGATTTCCAGGGAGAATTCGACCTTTTTCCCACAGACATTTGAGGAAGTGAAAGTTAAGTGGAAATTGCCACTGATTTTTTAAGGCTGAAGACCAATCAAACGCCAAACCCCACAAGATTTATCTTCTTTCCCAAAAGTAAACAAGAATACAGCAGGTCAAGGATTCAGCCATCTTTCATTATTTTACATTTAATCGCCGTACCATCATGCAAAATTGTATGATGGTCCCAAACATTGGAAATGTTTACTTACTGTTTTTTTCCTCCCAGTGCTTCCTTGTGGAAATAAGGAGAAATAGATGAGGAATTAGGTCTAGGAGTAGCAGGAAAGCAGCACCTGTAACAAACACTGCCCAGAACAGCAAGAGTGAATTTGACCTCTGTCCCCAAGTGCCCTCTTTGCTCTAGAGCCACTGACCTTCTTGCCCAGAGATGGTTCCTTCCATGCATGGAGAACAGTCATAGCAGCAGACTGGTGCTCCTTCTCTTGTCAGCTTGGTGTATCCTGGGAGACAGTTTTCTGTGCATCTCGACAAAGGCACCTTCTAAACATGAAGAGCAGCCACAGAAACATTCCATTCAATTCCATTTTGGGGAAGTAAATTACCAGTGTAAAAGAGAAGCAGTCAAATAAACAAGAAGGAAAAGAGAAAAACACATCCAAAAATATCATCTAAGTTGACGTCCTCAATTTGGATGAATATTACTCTAATAAAACTATATGAATCCTACAGCTGAAATCATAGTATCATTTAAAAGTAAAATTATGATCCTACCAAGAACTAAATTCTGGAATCTGGGAAAGCACTGGGACACTAAAATTTTGAATCAAAACTGCTGCATGGGTCAAGGGGGAAGCAGAAATCCTTCTGGCGTATGTATACAGCCATAGAGACCTTCATCATCTGTCTGTTCTTGTCTTGGATTTGGTCAGTGAGTGACAACCTTCAAGGGGTGTTTGCTAGACCCCCAGTTTTAAAGGTGGTCTAGCAAAATATGGCAGCATCTGGAGTCTGACTGGTCAGAGGGAAGAGCTCTCACATAGAAGGAATTGGCGTGCCCTGGATATTTTATCTCGTAAGGTGAGATGGAGCAGACACCAGAACATCTGTGAATCCCACAGCAGAATATGATATGGGCAGGGATTCAACAGTCCATGTGCCCAAGAGCACAATCAGGCCTCATAGCTTAATTCTAATGATCAGGCTTCTAGCACAGCTGATGGTGGGACGTTAAGCTGAGCTAACGTTAGAGCCTTTCTCAGTTTGGAAACTATTGTTCAATGATCCATTGTTTGGTTGCTTGGCTGACCTTGGCATTCTGAGGAGTCTTCTCCAACACCAAAGTTCAAAACCATCACTACTCTTTCTCTCCAGCTTCTTCAGTCCAATTTTGAAGAGGACAATGATTGACTCTAAGCAAGGTAAACATGTTAATGGGGGTGGTGTTTCTGTGAACTGAAATGTGTAATGGGCTGGGTACATATACTGGGCTAAAGCATGATTTCTTTTAATCATGATTTGTTGAAAGCAAAATAAATATGGTTGTCAAATCACATTGTATCAAGTCATGATCCACAATATAATGTCTGTGTTCATGTAACACAGAAAAGAGATCAACAAATCTTCCTACACTGTAATGTCATGGATGACTCCAGCTTTGGCCAGGTTTCTTCAGCCACATGTTTCCCCCACTTAGTATCCTGTCTCTTCTACATAGTGTTAACTGCAACCTGGATTATGAGGTGCTTACTAGGAAATGTATCATTGAAGCCCTTGCAGTCTTCCATGGACTTAAAAAAAAGTCCTGGTGAACAGCAAAGTCTTCAGAAAGCCACAAATTTGGGGACTAGTCCAGGAAAAGCAGCCCATGATACAGAAGGTCTTCCTCCATGTGAAGAACAACAGCTGATAAATGGTAAGAACCAAAATGCAGCAGGATCACCTACCTGACTAAATGATGTTGGCCACATGATGGCACTTTGATTGATAGAGAGGTTGACTTCTGAAGAGGCCTTTCTTTCTATTCTCCCAACTTTGACCCCAGCAGTAGACTTGTTGGGGAACTCTGCCCAGTGCATGATATCAAAGTCAGTGGTCAGATCTCCGTTCTCATCCAAATAAACACCATCCATGGAAAGGTTGTAAAGCTGGAAATTTCTCAGGAAAGGATGAAGCTAGAAAGAGAAGGAAAACCATGTCCATATATTATCCAGTTCCATTCAAGGCCTAATTCAATGTATATATGGCTCTTATTATAGATATGGGACTGGTATGAATAACTGGACCTTTTCAAGTCAGTGCCTCTGCCTGTAAAGAGTTTCAGGATCTAAGAGGAGGTCTCTCTCCCTTCCTCCTAAGGGAAACTGGATCTGGTCCACAAGCTTCTTGTGAGTTTCCTGAAAGAGTTAATTCCACTCAGTGACTTCTCCCTCAAAGCCAAAAGTCAGCAAACCAATTCTGTCAACCCTCTATATATACATTAAGAGGGAAATCCCAAAAGATAAATGAAACTTATTAGATCTGGTGGTCAATGTTTGGGATCCATGAGATCCTATACAGATTTAGTGCTTTATTTCTTTCTAAAAATCTTGTATGTATATACATATAGCATGAAATATTATGCAGATGCCTCTGGCACTGAAATCTTGCCATAGAGGGATCTAGCCTGAAGTTCATTTTCCTTCCATTTTGCCCCGCTGGTCTGTCTCACTAGCTCACTGTGCCTGCCTCTCTCTGTTGTCTTCTCCTGTTCTCCTTCTCCTCCTCCTCCTCCTCCTCCTTTCTTCTGTCTTGTTCCCTCAATCTTTCTCCCTTGCTCAGGCCTTCTTTGCCATCTTTCTCTGGGATATTGGTTTTATTTTTTAAAAGAGACACATGTCCAGTAATCTTGCCTGAGACTGTTAGACCCATGTAGGCTAGGGAGTAGGATAATGGCTGAGCAATGCCTGATGAGGGACTGATAAGAGTTATGCTGACAGATACCTGCTACTAGATTGCTCTTGCTGCCTAGGCCAAAATGGTAATTGAAGACAGTCCCAGCATCCAGGCATGAGGGGGGATGCCAATGAAAGCCCAAAGGGGCCAAAGGGGGCTGGGTAGATCCAGCCTCTACTGTGTCATCACCACAGACACCATTGAATCAGGCAGATAGGAAGGCTTGTGATGGGAGAAGATGGAAAAAATATATATTTATACCATGAGTGGCTGGATAGTGTAGTGGTTAGAGCACCGCTTTTGAAGCGGGAGACCGGGGTTCAAATCCTGGCTGGTACCTACATTACCAGTAGGGGTTCTTGGGCAAAGACCCCATAACGCTTCACCTGTCTACCTTAAATATGAGAGTGACATGAACTGAGAGAGTCATGCCAGTTCAGACATCGCCTGGATTAACAAGGTCCATGTCAGATGTTGGGGAACCAGGACAATCTGACGATAAGTGGGCTACTGGAGTAAACCAGACATGGACAAGACAGGAGAACTTGGAATTGATGGAATGCTACTACAACAGTAGACCTAATGACAGGGGATATATGAAACATATAAGGTAACTATGGATAGACAGAAGACCTACCTCCACACTAACTGAAAAACGGCTAGTTACCCAGTGCTTCAACATAGTGAAGAGAAAGCTGCTCTCACAACTTGAGATAGACCAACTCCACATTACAACCCAGATTCAAGTAGACTTGGAAGAAGAACTGGATGTGCAGCCAACACCTGAAGCTGGAATGTCACTGCTACCCCCTCCATTACAGAACCCAGCAGCTGATATGAGGCATAAGATCATGGATAAACTAGCTATAGCAACCCTCGAGACTGATTACCAAGGCTCGGTGGAGAAGTATCATTGGATAGTATGCTAGAAGATGCCAATAGAGCCCTTACGACAATTCCTACTACCACCATAACTCAAACCAATGAACTGGTATATGCTACAGCCACTGTAATCCTGGAAATGCTTGGCTACACAATCAAGAACAGCAGTACATAACCCTCCCCCCCCCCTTGGAAAATGAGATTGGAGGCTAAGATCAAGGCTACTTGGAGAGAAGTCAGTCAGCTGGTGGAACTACAGAAGGATGTGGAGATTAAGGATAAGACTCGGCTACTGAAAA